TTCATAACTGAACTTAATGTTTGTTGAACGTAAATCCCTTGAAAATGAAATGATCTATTACATATTTTGGTCCGATAGACAACACAACAAAATTTTGTGGGTCGTGTCGTATTAGCCTAGTGCTTATATAAAAATATTTTGTACAAAATTTTTTTTTATCATCAATATAATAATTTTGTTGGGTTTATTTGATTGAACAGTAAAAAGAAAAAGATTTTACATTTTTAAATTATAACTTAGATTATTTAGCTTACAACGTTTATGTAATTTATGGAATAACCTCTTATATTTTAGATTTCAAAAGATTCTTAAACAAGTTTAATTCGTCATTCAAGTCTACTATTTTCCCTACTTCTCCACTTAGATCCGACTTGTTCCTTTTTCTTTTTCTTTTTTTTGTTGGGGGAAGACAAAAATATTTTACTTCTACCCGCAGAAAACGAAACGACAGACGTTTCCATGTGTTGAAGGATAAAACGGTGGACTGTTCATCATATATGTAATACCAGCTTCTTCGTTAGTCACTGGCTCCATCCGTTCGTCACTCAAAACCCGCGAAAACCATAATTCTTCGAATGAAGGAAACCAGAAACCGAAGCAGCAAAAGCGCCAAAGGCTCCAAACTCTGAACTTTTGAAATTTTAAAAGGAAAAAAAGGCTTAGAAGCAGTAAATGGATCGGATCCAGGCAGCAAATGAGCTCGCTTTTCGGGTCGGATTCTCCGGTCACAGCGGCCACCTCCGGGTCGAGCCGGTTTATACCGTGGAGCGTGTCGACCCCGTGAGGTCGTTGCCGGATTTTATCCTTGTGAGTTTGCAGTCTAGCAACCGCATAAGCTCGCATATAATTCCCATATTTTTTTCACAGTAAAACAAAGGAGATTTAAGCTCGAAGCGTATTTTAGGTGGTCCTCTAGGGTTTAATTGATTAAAACTATGTTACTAAAATCATTAACTCCATGATTTGTCTAACTAGCCGATGTTTTGGCTTAAGCTTTTGGTTTTATGCTGACTTTGTTTACTGCTTTGCTTGTCTGTTTCTTGTTTCATTAGCTTTTAAGATGTTGTAATTATGCCTATCTTAGTTGTTGAGGCTACTAATATTAACAGGGAGATTTCCGGTATTCAGATTAACTATAATGACAGCAATGGCTAATTGTTGTTCTTATTTATGGTTTTCAACGAAAAAGCTTCATGGTCATTTAGCAAAGTTGACGCATGAGTAGATTTCGGGTGCTGGCTTTTCCTGTAAGGAATGTTAAGAATTTTTCTTAAAAATTTTAACTGGTAATGGGCCTGCATTATTGAAGAAGCTGGACTTTGTGAAAGCTATGTGAAATGTATATTATGCTCTCTTTAATTAGAGGTATCTTCAGCATTTTGGCTGAGCTTATTCTTACTGGATATAGCTTAATTTCTTTATACGTGTTACAGCCTCCTGCATTTCCTAGAGATACGCCTGAATCGATAAAAGAGCATATTGAGGAGGAATATCTCTTGCCAAGATTGGATCCTGATGAATTTTCTGCAGAAAAAGATGGAAGGCAATGGAAATTTGATTGGTTTGGGAGAGCAGAAGTACCACTGGAGCCATCTGTGCCCCGCTCCGTTATGGTTCCAAAGTGGGAGTTGCCGTTTAGGCGCCAGAAGAAGGGATCGGAGAAAGGAATATGGGAACCCACTTCAGTGCAGGTAAGTGATCTCTCTGACATGCAACACCAGTATTAAGGTTTCAGAATTACTACAGCCACTATAATCTTTTCTGGTGTATAAGCTTAGAATAAAAGGTGGCAAGGCAATAAGGTCTTGACAGGCTTCTTGAGCATTCGATTTTCTTCTATTCCTAACTTTGGCTGGAGAGCTGGATTGTCATATTGGTTTAGGTGGATGTGTCAGAATTGATGGTAGGCGATGAAGATCCAGGTCCCTTTCAACGTGCTGTTGGACCCTCAGCAGATTTTGTGAGAGGAGGCATAAATAACCGCCCTTTTCGGCCAGGAGGTTTGGAGAATTCCTCATCTTTAGAGAGAATCCTTCCTGATGGTGCTCTGAATGGTGAATGGGTACGTGAGATCCTAAATGGTGGCCCTGCTCAGACTGTTCCTCCCAGCTTTAAGCGGGGATTAAATCTGGGTAATATTAAGGTATTGTCCCTTAATGTATCATTTTCAAGCCCAAAATTGAACAGAGTTTGTTTGTTTTTATTCTAGCTCTTCTGAATTCTAATCTACACAATTTATTTTATGACATTTTTTGAAGGAATATCCACGCAATTGGAGTGTTTATGAGGACCAAAGTTCACTCAATAGGACAGCTGATGAAAAGTTGGTGAGTTGTGCCATGCATTGTGGTTTCCTCTTAAAAATGCGTTATGCTGTCCATTACCAACTTGTTTAATAACTACTAAGTGTGTATGTCTTATGTTTGATCGCTGCCTTTTATATGGATGCTGCTTCCAGAGTGAGCTATCGGTGCAATTTGATGACCTGTTCAAAAAAGCTTGGGAAGAAGATGTGGTTGCTGAATATGGCAGGGATGGTATGTATGATATGCTCCTTGAAATTTCTTAATGGAACCATCTGTTTATAAGATCATATCCTTATGGATTCAAGCACAATTAGTCTTAAGATGAGGTTGCCTTTTTGCTTGGTTCTTTGGCTAGATCCATATTTCCTTTGCTTTGAGACGGGGTGAGGAAAGTGTCATGTCATATGAATTACATGCTATTGGTTAGACTAAATCCATCTTGTGATGCATTCATGTTGTTTTCTGGTTAACCAGTGAGCTTCAGCTCAGTTTGGATTTCTTGACCTCACTAAGTGTGAGGTTGAGGGATTAACTCCCGGCTGTACGCCCCAAAAAAAGTATATAATAGGTCTGTAAACTGCAGCAAATGAAGTTGTTTTTTACTATAAGAGTCGGGTTTGTGATGCATTGATGTTGTTTTCTGGTTAACCAGTGAGCTTCAGCTCAGTTTGGATTTCTTGACCTCAGAAAGTGTGAGGTTGAGGGATTAACTCCCGGCTATACGCCCAAAATAAAAGTATATAATAGGGTCTGTAAACTGCAGCAAAAGAAGTTGTTTTTTACTATAACAGTTGGGTTTGTCGGGTAAGCTTCAATTGTAATTCAGATTCAAGTTCTCCTCCAAACTGATTGGAGACAGGTGAACAGACTGGTGTCTTGTAGAAGTATTTAACCTTCTGAGATTCGTAACTCATTTAGACCTTTGCTTTGGTTGGATGAAGGATTGGAAGAAAGATGTTTATGCAGGACTGCGGACAAGTGTTGCATTCGGGAATTATCTTCATCCATAATTACTTGAAATTGGGAATCACTGAGATGTTTTTATAACTGAATTAGTCACAGATCAGTAGAATGATTGCATCTGAATTTTGAGTAACGTAAGGAATTTTCTGCTAAAGGTTCACATACCTTTCTGTTAACTGAATGGTTTTGCATGGAAGAAGGTTGGTTCTGATTGGTTGTCTGATGAAACTGTTGTCACATATTATTGGACTAAGATGGTACTTTTTCACTTGTACTTTGATTTCTAAGACAGTGCTGTTTATGAAGGTGATTTGTCAGAAACAGAGTCCTCTGTGTCCGATGCAGAGGCAAGTAAGATTGATGTGAACACGAATGTACTTGAGTCTGAATTATCTCCATTGGATGAGATTTTGTCAGTTGAAAGAGAGGCACCATCCCCAATGGTGGATGGGACTAATGATGGCAGTGGACAGCCGCAGAAGGAGGTGCTTACTTGAAATTCATTGCTACTAGTTTCACCCTCTTTCATCTTAACAATATTTGTTCTTCTGGATATTGTACAGTTTGGGTTAGTGAATTTATTTCTTAGCAGGTCTGGGCAGTTAGTGGTGGGAGTGAAGGAATTGCTGATCACTTTCATGAACTTGTTCCTGAAATGGCCTTTGATTTCCCCTTCGAATTGGATAAATTCCAAAAAGAGGTACTTGGTCAATTTTTCTTTTTCTTACCTTTGTTCCCATAGCAAACACTTCGGTTGAACTTGGAATTAAAAAAAAATTTCCAGAAGTTAAAACTGTAATGCATATATTTGATTAATCTGACAGTCTTTTTGAATTAAATTACTGAATTCTATCTTAACTAAATCTCATTAGATCAAATAGACAAATAGTTGCAAAATATCTTTCTTCTGTTATTTTATGTTATGCATTTTTTTAGATGTGGCATTCAAGCAATTAACAAGTTCAAAATACTCTGGGACCCACTTTTGTCATGAGTCCTACCCACTCAGTTATAAGTTCTTTTGTTGGCCTTCTCTTCCTTTTATTGGTCTACTTGTAATTTTGTATGTTTAATAGCTTGGGACTTGGGGGATCTTGATTTTGTTCTGTTTCTCTCTTTAAAGAAAATTTTTATTCATATATTCCTCTGTAGGCGTATTGGATATTTTTGCTTCTTCTACATAGTAGCTAGTAGTGTCTTTGTATGACTAAAGCAGCTTTTGTGTGTATTGTTTGCTGCAACTTTCATGATTAACTGGCATGTGACATGTATGCATCACATCTCAACCCATGGTTTAATCTTTCACTTTCCCTCTAATTCTGTAATCTCAGAGTTGATAAAGCTCTTGCATAAAAGGCCCAAAAAAAAAGATGAAAACTGAAAATTTACAGCACAAATGCTCTGCTTGTTTTCTTTTTTCTTTGGTAATGTTTTATGTCTAAAGGAAACTCTAGATGTTCTTCTGTATGCTCCTCATACGTGCTCCTTTTTTTCCTCTACTCAACATGGTTCTTACAGGCTATCTATTATCTGGAAAAGGGGGACTCTGTTTTTGTGGCAGCCCATACATCAGCTGGAAAGACAGTGGTTGCAGAATATGCATTTGCTTTGGCAACAAAAGTGTGATCTTCTACATTCACTAGCTGTCTGTGATTTTATATATTGCTATAAATTCCTTGGTCAAGCACACTGGATTTTCTTTTTCTGTTCTTTTAGATTTTATGCTAAAATTTTAAAATATACTTTCATGTTATGCAGCACTGCACTAGAGCTGTATATACTGCTCCTATTAAGACCATCAGCAACCAAAAGTATAGAGACTTTTGCGGAAAGTTTGATGTAGGTCTTCTTACTGGTGATGTTAGCTTGAGGCCAGAGGCTTCTTGTCTCATCATGACCACTGAGATATTGAGATCAATGCTTTACCGTGGTGCCGATATCATACGTGATATTGAATGGGTAAAATCAGCTCTTTTTTTCCCTGTATATGTAATATATATTTATAAATCTGATCATTATTTCATGAAGTTTCTAATAAAGTATCTCCGCAACTGACAC